GATGATTTTATTGTATACTTGGAGAAATTTACATGTGTAAAGTACTGCTGGAGTTTTTGTAGTATGTTGTGAAATCTGTTTTGCAGAAATATATTCTTTTTTACAACTAGAATCTCTTGCTAGCTGCTGTCAACATCATCAGACAGCTGCTGTTATCATCATCATCTTGTCTTTGACTGGAGGTTCTCTCATGCTCCTTTCTAGCTCTGCCATATCCTTGCTGTACCACACAGACCCTTATTGCTTTTAATCTCAGGTCAGTAAGGTCTCAGTCTTCCACCCCCTCTTCCCAGCTGTCTGCAGCAGGCTCCAGCTCCCCTCCTTCAGAGGTGTCCTTGGAGGCTGTGCAAGCTTGGTGGCCTGTCTGCTGCAGAGCCAGATAACATCCATATACTGGAAACACCTGCTTTTCCAATCTTGTACAATCTTGATCTAGATTTCAAGAACTCAGTGACTTAGTTTTTCATTCACAAGAGTCTGCACAGATCAGAGTTTCTACCCATTTTCCTTGTTGTCCAAGCAAATGTGCTACATTCTATCAACTATTTGTTGATATCGTTTGAAGTACTATTTATTCTGAATTAAAAAAAAAAACCAGCATTGATAAATGCTATTAGAGATATTAGCTTGCATTTCAGTTCACCAGTTGGGAGATCTCTGCTTTTAGACTTTTCCTGCACAAATACCAGAAACACTCCTATTGGAAAATATACTGCCATATTTGCTCAGAGTTTGTTGTTTTGGCAGACACCCCTGCCAGTATAACATTTTGACTAGAAATAACCATGGTAACAAATGCAGAAGGCTAACAAGCACAAAGAGTTCAAAATTGTTTCAACTACCCCTGGCCTGGCCTACTTCTTGTATGTGCATCAAAAGTCCTTTTAGGATAACCACAGCTATTTAAATTATATTTTCTCAGCTATTAGTAAATTAATGCTTCTTCCTTTCTGGGATTTAAAAGTAAGATGAGACCTCCTGGTAGGACTGAGAAGAATATTTAGAGCTTTTGCTTCCCACCCCTTTGGATGCTGGGAATGCTTAAAAGAGAGGAAACACTCCATGTGGATTTTGGTATACCAAAATTAAGAAGCTGTTTTGGCACTGAATACAGGAATGCAAAGTCTGTCTTGCATTTTGTCCTTCATTAATTAAATGCAATAGTTTTTCAAAGAAAAAATCTGTGTAAGTTTCCACTTGAAGTTTCCCATAGATGGTTCTTGTAGAAGCTGAGGGTTTGACTTAACCTAGTTTTGCATAAAACATAGTCTGTCTTAATCCCATATTTGCACTGGTGCCTTAAAGGGGCACGTATGGATCTTGTGAAATCTGTCAGGAGAGAGATGTAGCAGCTCACAACAGTCTAAGGCCAGCCTGTGGCTTTCTAGCTGCATGTGACGCAGTAGAGAGTCAAGTATGGCTCTTGCACCAGGGCTGTATTACAGATGTCAGTGACTTCAGCTTTTTAGGTGTGAGGCAAATGAGGAGCCATTAGGGATTGCTGGAAGCAGTGCTGCCTTGTGGGCTGCAGCTGTGTGCTCACCCGAGGGGAGTGCAATGCCCTCGAGTGCGATCACGCCTTCCTGCCAAGACCACGGATCGCGCTCCCTCAGCTCGCTGAGGTAGGCAGGTCTTGGCAAGCTCGTCTGGAGTGTCAGCCAAGCCCTGCTTCCTAAGAGCTCGGCTGTCTGGCCTCTCCAAATGTGACACTGGATTCATGCAATTAAAGCACTGCAGTTTCTGTGGCCAGCGGCAGGGCAGGAGTGACCCATGGTGCCTCCCTTCCCAGCGCACTCTGACCGCCGAGGCAGGGCAGGCACCACCAGCAAGGGCTCCTGCAGAGGAGCCTGGGCTGCTGCTTCAGTTCACACCGGTGGATCTAAGGCAGCAGGACCACCAGGACTGCCTTGCCTCTGGCCCACAGGAATTTCACACAAACAAGGATTTAAAAATTCTTCCAAACACCTCTTGTTCATAGGGCCCTAAGATGGAGCCCCTGTGCAAGCCCAGAGTGACGCTGGTCAGCTCTCACACACAGGCTGTTTACAAGAATTTGCAGACCATTCTATTCTATATCTATTTTATGTGGAAATTTGAATGATATTTTGACCATAATTTCTTTTATTCAAAGGGGCCTTGATCCCAGAAAGGGTTGAGCAAACACCATGAAAATTGATTCTGAATATTGGCAAGGAAAATAAAAGCAAATATAAAGACACTTAGAAAAGTACCTGACTTTTTAATATTTTTTTTTACCTAATCAGAAGCTGCTAAACAAGAAGTTTCCAGAAGACTCCAAAACATTAAGTCAAACTAATATGACTAAGCACCCTTACTTTGGTATTTATCTCAATTTCAAAATACTTCAATCACTTAGCACCTGAAAAGTAACCCAGCTACGAAACCCTGCCATACTGTGTAACTGCTCTTTGATGAAAATTACACCACACCTTATTAATCCCTTGCGGGGGCAGGGCGGGGGAAGAAAAAAAAGAAAGAAACCTCCTATAACTAAAGCCTGGAATGACTCGCAGCCAAACAGATGACACTTAAGCAAGTATGCTAAGTACAGTACACTTCACAGTTCATCTTGGTATTAGTAATACTTTTAAAAACTGAGTATTTTAAACTAGCATTTAGTACGTATGTCCACTACACAGCTCCAGGATTAATCTTCTCAAATACAAATTTCCCTGAATGGGCATCATGTTTTCCACGGTCTCATAACATTAATCAAACATCACTCCCTGCAAACTCCATACCTCCCAAATACAAGCCAGGTTTATGAGTCAGCTCCACACACTGTAATACGATCAAAGACAAATATGGCACTTCAAAAGCTCACTTGTGGAAATTTGACAGAAAAACCACCTAAAATAATTTTTCCAGATACTAGATATACTGAAAGCAATATGTTGTATCACAGACTGATTTTGCTGAGTATGCTTCAAAATTGAGCAGAGCTCAGAACTGCAGGCTATTAAGTATCTGTTGAATACAGATTTTTTTTTTTGCACAATATTCAAACATTCAACAGTTCAACACAGCAATCATAGGAAACAGATTATAAACAACACCAAAATATTACTAAAACCACTGATAGTGTAGTAGCTTATATAAATGCAAGTTGCATTTACATTACATTCCATCATGAAGAAGATTCTTGCCCTCAAAGTGATACAACCAATGTATTTCAATTTTAATATGCATTCTTAAGGGTTTAAGCTATTTTTTCTTTCTGTTGATATACCTTGCCTCTCTTTTGTTGCAAGGTTTCAACTTTCAAATGACTAAACTTATGACTGAATACTGAATACATTGTCCTTACTATTATGTTACAGCACGTTACTTTTAGAAGTAGATTGGTGGTATGACTAAGAGAGCGGAGTTTGTTTTTCCATTCTATTCTCCAGTATATAGTCAAAATTCCCTTTCTGAGCAGGCATGCAAGGCAGCTTACACCAGTAATATTTGTGAAAAGCAAGCTCTAAAGTTAAAGAAACAACCATTCAGACTTTTAAAAGCATAACAATAGTTTCAAACATACTTTTCAAACATGTAATTCATTCTGCTTAGTGGCATGTTTTGAAAAGCTACAGGCATGCTTCCAGATTTTTACCTCCTGTAAGTGCATGAATTTAGAAGCAATGCAAACTTCCTTTTACAAAGGAAGTTTTGAAATTACTAAACCAATACAACAGATTTTAAAGGTTTGTAGAAGTTTGTACTACTTGCTATTAGGAGAAATAGTCAAGTTACTGATGTTTTTGCCTTTTGCTGAAAAATTGAACCATGATATTCACAATCTAGTTTCCTCTTCATAGGTAATTCCTAAGGACATTAGTCATATATTCAGTGTACATAGTTACTCTATCATCTCTCTAGTTATTAAAGCAATCCAATAATGTTTTTCAGAGAGGCAAGTTTAATATTAATTGAACTCTTCTTGACCAAGCAAGCTGTGCAATATAGTAAAAGCTACCCTTTGCATGTACCACAAAGCAGAGATTTGCCAGAGCCCACAGTTATTAAACATGACACCAGCAATAACTGCTTTATAGTTTCACATGTAGCCATGCACTGGGGTAATCTCTCTGTGATCTGGATCATATGAGATAGCTAAGAAATTTTCAGGTAGTTTCTACATTAGGTGATCCTTTCATATTTCAGCTCGCAATACTTTTTATGCTACAGTAGCTCACACACCAGGATTTTTCCAATCTGACAGTTTCTCAGTGACAGTACAAACTCACAGGAGAATGCTCAGCCTTGTGAAGTGCTCCAGGAAGGTGCCAGCAGCCCCAGCACTGTCCTGCTGCAGTATCAAGATGCTGTACTGGGGCTAGCAGGAACCTCCACATCCTCCACAGTAACGGCCATGAGCATCACTAGGTTGGAAAGGGGTGTGTTGTCTAACCCATTTCATAAGAAGAAGGAAATTTATTATCGCAAAATCCAAAATATGCCATGGAAGTCCAAATTCTATATAATTAGCCAGTAGTAATTAATTTTCAAGCCAGAGGTTGCAGCAGACACTTCACACATTGGTTTAAGCTGCACTTACAGGATTTCACATTTTTCTTTTCTGTCGCTGGTTCCATGCTGCCTTCTGAAAATACTGCAGTTAAATTTAAAAAAAAAAAAAAAATTGAAAAATTGCATGGTCCCTTTTTCTTTCAGCTAAGCAAGTTTGTTCAGCTTTTTTTTCTTATTCAGTTAGGGATTAATTTTCAAGGACACATTTTTTTCTCTTTAGAGCCAAAAAGCAGAGGGGAAACATTAAGGGGAAATAGGAGGTACAGCCTATAGCTCCCTTCAGGGATTCCGTCTCTGAGACAGAAAGCAGAAAAGGGATAAGAATACATGGATTCTTCCTTCCTGATATTTCCTTTCTATTTCCCATAAGCAGTGGTTTTGTCTTTAGCTGGTAAAGGTAAGCAACAGAGTAAGAAAAATTTGACCAATACCAAGACTACAATGTCTCTTTACTGTCTTTTCAGGTGCTTTTCTTATTCCCTACATCCTCTTCTTAATCATTGCTGGAATGCCCCTGTTCTATATGGAATTAGCACTGGGACAATATAACCGAGAAGGGGCTGCCACTGTTTGGAAAATCTGTCCAGTTTTCAAAGGTAAGTGTTCCTCTGCTCCCCTGAACAGCACCTGAGGGTGCCACACAAGTGTGATCACAAACAATGTAAAGATCTCTCATCTTTCACAGACAAGGTGGTATTTGGTGACCTTTCCCCAACCCTTGAAGTCAGAAGTTTTTGTGTTATCAAAGGTGAAACACAACATGGGAAAAGTCACAGAAATCATTTCAGGGTGATTGCTGGCTGAGTGAAACAGAGAGCAATGAGCAGGAGCAGCTCAGCCCTGCCCTCCCTTTTCCCTGTGTACTGGGGTTTGGGAGGAACTGGGAATCTCAGGGTGGAGTGGGGTGGTTTGCCAATCCAAACGTTGGAAATACCAAATCCCATCCAGGTAAATTCAGCCCTGTCTTCCCCATTGACTAAGGTAACCACTACTCCATTCAGGGCGTGGAGCTTTCTCTGCAGAAGCCAACATACCACAGTGCCTACAACAGTAAAATGGAGTTGTGAAGACTGTAGGTTTGGCCACTAGACTTATAACAGCACAGGAGTTTTCTGTGGTTTCTCTGTACCTCAGTTTTCCTGCCTGTGAAGTGGGAGCAATGATTCTGATAGTCTTTGTAAAATGTCTTTCAGATACAGCAATGAAAAACACTTATTAAAATCTGAACATTATTACTATTGAGTGTTTACCACTAGGATTAACTCTCCAGCATCACTGAATAAAAGCTGTGGAGTGTTGTTTGTGCACAGCATCATTTTGCAAGGAAAAATATGTTGGGTGTTTGGCTTTGATCAGGAAACAATGTGTAAAAGAAGCCATATGTGTTCTGTACATGAAACAAGTATTTGTTAATGAACCTAAAGAAATTTTTAAGCATTCCTTGCCAGTAAAAAATGTAAGTTCCTTTGTATATATACTAGGCTGCATCTAAAATCTCATGCAAAAGTCTTTTCAACAGAGACATACCTGAAATTAAACCAGGCAAGTTCAGCTGACCTTAGAACCTTAAAATTCAGATCATGTTCATCCTGGGACTGACAAAAGCTGAGGAGCTTAACAATAGCAATCCAGACTTGATGGATCTGCTGCTTGGATATAGGTTACACTAAGTAAATGTTAGTCTTCTTTCTCAAAATACAGCTTTCCTCTTCAAGCAGTCTAGTGCCACATAGTAAGAAAAGTGGAGGGGTTTTTTTTCTACCAGTTAAACCCGAAACTCACAGCAAAATTAGTGGTATAACAGAAAATAAGTAAGCGAGCTAATAAAACAATGTGCCTCAAAATTTTAAAATTAATTCATATAGATTTACCTAGCCTTTCTATAATCCTGTCATGGGAGACAAAATTCATCCCAGCACCCAGGAACCTGAATACCCTTGCTCAATAAAAATTCCTGTTGGTATTATTTATATACCTTTGGATGACAACGAGGATTTTGAAAACCTAAATGCAAAAAATTAGACCTTCAGGATCTCAAAGCATTTGAGCCAAATACCACTGTGCTCAGAGGTATTCTGTGTTGACTTCAGGATTGAAAAGATTATGAGAAAGGAAAATAGAACTTATTTCATGTACATTCTTGTTGACATTCCAGCTGTGTTTTTAAGCTGACATTTTCAAGGTGGACTAAACATACATTACTGATGATTTTAAAGTTTCTTATTACAAGAATATAGAAGAGTTATTTGATTCTCAAAAAGTAATAAGTATTGAGACATTTACACTTTGGTATAAACTCAGTACATTTAAAGTTTTGACTAAAACCTCTGATAACATGCAAACACATTTTACTGCTAGTGCTTTAGAGCTGTTTCTGGGACAACTCAGATCTCTCACTCAAAGGAAAAGTACACAGTCTACACAAATTCATAACAGCTTCTCTAAATGAACAGCACTATAGTTCTAATTTTAGCTATGAATATTATTGCTATGAACTCTAAGCACTCTACTTTTAATGAGATGCTATCATAACACATGCAATTACAAATATACCCTGTAACCTTTGTAACATAGTCTGTTTTCATCTCTGCATTTTTTTCCAGAGTCTATTTTAGACTGTGGGTGGTGCAGCATTACTTTTAATAAAACCTAGAAACATAAGAGCAAATTCATTCCTGAACATTCTTAAGATCACAGAGAAGAGCTATTTAAAACACATTTGATCCAGTATTTTTTAATCTTGACATTAAACATCTTGCATCCTCCTGGACCGGAGGAATTTCAGGAACACTTTTTTAAACAACAATCATTTAATTTTAGTCTTTTGTATATTATCCATACTTAGTGTTTTAGCATTCACCTTAACACTTAAGAATTATTCTTTTTGGGGTTTCCTCCCTCCTCTCCATTCTATTGATCATGGTGTATCACTAGACTTTGAGTCTTCAAGTACAAGATTCATTTAAGCACCAAGGATTTGAAAATACTGTTTCATCTTTACTTTCACAATTTTTCCCCATTATTAGGGATGAGAAAACTGGTTTACAGACTAAAAACCTCCTGCAGAGCAAAGAGTAACGTTTGTACTGTTTTGTACTGCAGCAGTCTTTGAGCTGACAGCTCTTTCAGGGTCAGAATCTGTTCTTTATGCAAATTTTAAACCTGGATTAATACTCACAGTGGGTGCTACTTCCTTCCTTTATAAAGAAATAATAAAGCTAATAATCTCCAACTGCTAGGCCTCTGATGCAAAACATTAAACTGAAGCAAACTAGAAGTAAAGGTTTGCACTTAGTTGCTGTTACAGTACCCACTGTGACAGTGATGACATTCATAAAATAACTCTACTCCCTACCTTTTATATACAGTACATACAACTTTGAGGAAAGATTCAGAGAACAAAGCTGCACACAGAGTAAGAATGATTGAAGTCAAGGTAAAGCAAGATTCCTGAGCAGCTTCCTCTCAAACTGTTGGAAAATGTCCATTTTCATGAGGAGAATGTGCACTTTCTTGGGTGCTTTTGCTAAAGAGACCCTCCAGCCACACTTTATGATATGCAAAAATACAAAGCCAAAAGAGAAAGCTTACACTCTGAATTCTGTAATCCTGGAGAGACAGAAAAAGGGGATGAATGTCACACACAGTTTAGCCCCAACCCAAGAGTCACCAAGTTTTACTGGCATTCCCAAAACCACCTGGAGACATAGGTGGAACAGCAGACTCTTTCATGCATGATTTGGAGCCAGTTCCATGCTGATGGAAGCCAATCTAGAGAGCAGTAATGGGAAAGAAACAAGAGAGGGATCAGTGTCTGTTCCAAACTAATTCAGGGTGGGAACATGTGGCATAGGGAAACTTCATTTAAGTGTCAAGCTTTACTTTTCCAAGAGAAGTTGCCAAGGTCCCTGACGTCATGAAGATGAAGTGAGTTTCGCTCCTAACATGGGCTTGCAATCTTCTGCATTGGAAGCAAATCAGCAATTGAGTTGTACAAGGACAAATTTTGACATTGCACTGCTTAATTTCTTTTTCTGACAGACAACTGGATTTGATAAAAGCCAGTCATTTTCCAGAAGCATTTCTGTAATTTTTTGTTTAGAGGTCAGGTACATTGTATCCGCATATGTGTATGCAAATGTCAAAAATTCCTTTTTATTGATGTGAAGACCTAAAATGCATTTACAATCATGTATCATTGAGTTTAACTCCAGTGTTTGTGTATGCTGTTGCATGTCAAGTGCAATGTGTAATCTAGTTTTCCTTTGTCTTTAGGTGTAGGCTATGCAGTGATACTCATAGCTCTTTACGTGGGTTTCTACTACAACGTTATCATAGCTTGGTCTCTGTATTATCTATTTTCATCATTCACATTTGAGCTCCCTTGGACAAACTGCCACAACAGCTGGAACAGCCCAAACTGTACAGATCCAAAACTCTTCAATGCATCAGTGCTTGGCAATGGTACTAAATACTCCAAGTACAAGCTCACTCCTGCAGCTGAATTTTATGAGTAAGTGTTGACCTAACTTCACTATTTATTCAAAATTCTGTGTTTAAGGGAGTTTCCTCTTGAAGGTAAAATAGTTTCTATCCAGCCTCTAGAACAAGCATCAGAAGACTAAGGTTAAAGTGGAGCTGTAATGTTGGTCTGTATGCCTGGGTGACTGACTTTTGCCTCTGTGATATTTGGTTTCTCCTGTGCTAATGCAGTGCTTGCTACTGAGCAAAATGGAATTGGACAAGACACAAATGTTCTCTATGTGCCACTTTTGCTTGCACCAGCTTTGCTAGGGCAAGGAAACACAGCTATATTCTGACAGAGGTGACTGCATGTCAAACTGAGATGAGTTTAAGACTTTAAAATAATCATTTGTTCGCAAATTTAGACTGCTGCTCCACTCAAAATTTCAGAGCAACAGCAGACCTCTGTTTGTTCCACTGCTTCAATAGTTCAATGAAGTGAGATAAAACACTGATCAGGAGGAAAGAACCAGGTTACAGAAAGACAGGGTTTTACTAATGCCTAAGCAAAAGAGTGTTCTGCAACACGGGCTGAGACAGACAAAGGCAGGCTTAAATCAAACAGCTGGAATCAAACCCCAAATGGTATATAAATTAACAACTGAACTATAAAACAAAGATACCTATGTCTGTATAAATATTTTCATTATGGACTTATAGGGGAAATGGGATTTGATCAGGAGAAATGGGATGAGCATCAAACTATTGAATCAGCTGTTTAATTAATCTGAATAATGAATCAATTAATATTTCTGTGTTTGGAGTAGAAAGATACCAGGGCACACACCTGCTAAGCAGTTAGTCCAACCTTGTAGAAACAAAGGGAAAACACTGTTACCATAAATAACCAGTAGGGATTTTGGGGTCTCTGTTTATAGCTCTTTAACATTTGTGGCTGCTGTTTCTCCTCTGAAGACAGCACAGTGAAAGATCAGTAGTGATACACAAACTGCTGGCAGGGGTTTGGGTAAACGAAACTCAGTGCTTTGAAAACAAGATGGGGGCTTGAGTTCAAAGGAGCTTACTGAAATGGCAAATAATGACAGCTGTGAAATCTACTGCCCTTACAATAGAAGACTTAAATCTTAGCAAAGTAAAATGCAATCTCTGCCTTCTTGCTTTGCCTTTTTATGATTTAAAATGGTTCTCAACAACTTTTGCTATCACATCATCCTTGGGTAATGATTTTGACTTTGTAGTGGGTGAAGCTGAAGTAGAATCAATTAATGATGTTTTGATTTAGTTCCACTGATCTGGGGAACAACTGAATTAATGATTGTACACTGAAACTTGAAATATTATGGTCCTTTCCTCATCCTGAATGAGATTCAAGGTGCAGTGTTCAGAAGGTAAGAACAGAAAGGGAATTTGACATTTCATCATGCTTTAATCCCTGAATTTTGCAGCTGTAATTAGGTCACTAGGCCCTGTACTTATTCATGACTAGAGTACATTGCAAAAATGAGAAGGATAACTACTTAACTAAAACACTCTACAACATCTGTTTTCCCAGCTGTAAAAACATGCAATCACAAGGGGCATTATATTCACTTATCCAGTATTTGGATGAGCTCATCGCGTCCAGCTGTACAGCTCAGGTGTCAACCCAAACTTGTACAAAGTCTCAGTGTATTAAGATCCAACCTATAAATGAAATCAGAAAACAGTTTCTTTCTTATATCAAATAACCCAATTCATGCTTATGCTCTTCTTACAACAAGGAGAGTTGAATCTTTTGATTATAAAGTTTCATATTTTGTGCCAGAGTCACAAAAAGAAATTGGAAGTGATACAGCTTAAACTTGGTTCTCTAGGTTGTGTAGTTACATCAGAACACTCACACACAAAGTTTTGGCCTCTGGTAGGCAGGTTGAGGGAGAAGCAGGGAGACCAGAAACACCAAACATTTATTTTGCAGTTGCTGAGTGGCTGAAAAGAGGTACTTCCAAGACAGGACTCAAGCAGAGAGCTAGTATGATTATTCTGAAAAGACACAGACACTTCTTTTTGGGATATAATTTCTTCACACTAAGCTGGCCTGACCAAGAATTTAGGGTTGATTATTTCCTAAAGCTCTGTAGCTGCCAGAGCTGACTGCCTCTATCTCCACCAGCACAGGAATAAACTGTAGGAGGAAGTGGGAGTGCTGTGATGTGACAGTTCATCAAATACTACAAGAAAGGTACCTCAAATTCAGCAGAAATATGCTGGTTGTCAGTACTTATATTGAGTGAGAAAAGGGAAAACTTGTAATCTAGGCCAAATCTATCAGCTGTCCAGTATCTGGGAGGAAAAGCAGAAATAAACCTCTAAGCCTCAGACTAGGAAGAAATCATTTCAAGTTGCAAATTCCATGCCAAGGCAATGGCAGGGGAACCTTGAAGAACATATTTGGGTTTGTTTTCAAGCTTCAAGAGCTGGGCAGTACTTAAGGTTGAAGTGCTTCTACACTGAGGAGTGTAGAAGAGTTTTTTAATAAGTTTCATTTTACTAAGTCTGGTTTCAGTTGTAGAGGGCTAATTCAGGCCGAGGTGCCACTGATGTCATGGGACAGCTTCTTACTACAGGAAGGAATGGGACCTCTGCAATACTTCATTAGAGATGCTTCAAATCAACTATAAAGTATTTGTATACTGTAAACTTGGCAAAGCACGCTAAAATCTAATATCAGCTGGTGCCTTTCTGCTAAGTAATAGCCAGACATAAAAGAAATCCAGTTAGGAATAAAATGTCAACTCCACATTTCTTTAGGGACACACATTACTTTAATTCCTTCCCTCTTCAGTGGTTTGGAATTAAACACAGAAAATGAAAAGAGCCTTCTATCCTTTCCACACATGTTAAAATAATTCAATATGAGCCTTTCTCTTTTTTAGAAGAACAGAAGTACATCACAAATAAAGTTTCCAATCTACTTCATATTGCTCCTATTTAAATACTTTATCAGAACACAGGCATATTTTATATTTGTTCTCTCCACTCTTGTGTCTGGGAAAAGTCTGTTACCATATTGCTTTCATTTATGCTGATGATTAAGAAATACCAGTTAGGAGGAACAAAAGCACTAATCTTCTCACAAGGTACTGTGCCTGCAAAAAATCACAATCGGCTGTAGAAACAAGTCTTGGCAATTTAAAAAAAAAAAAACAGTGAAAATATCAACAAACATTGGGCTACAGCTATTTCCCTCTGACAGTACTTTTTCTCAGGGCTGTAAATCCATTCTTCCTGCACGAGAAATTTCACAGGGAAATTTCCATGCCAGATTCAGTAAAGGAAACTCACAGAATTCACAAGTCTGCCAAGCTGTGAACAATTACAAAAACCTACCTAAGATCAAGGAATAAACCCAAGATTCACTCACAGCAGTCTACATTTGTCATATTTATGAACATCATGTTTATAAAATTTATGAATGCGTGAACCAAGAACATCCTGTAAAAAAAACCCTCACCCTATACAACAAAGGTTACTTTTCTAGCATAGATTTATGCTTTTGGGTACAAGTCTTAACTGGAAATGCCACCCCAGGCAAAGGCTCCACATGGTTCAGTCTGACAGCAAATGGAGTGACCAATACTGTGGACCCCAAAGATGCAGGAACCCATCCTCATTAAACAATTGGGAAGCAACTTCTCCCAAAAGAGAATACACCACTTCAAAAGTCAGCACAAGCTATTCTGCCTATAATTCTGCCCACATTTATAATGTAAATGCTTACAAATTCTGCCTATAAATGCTTATAAAAACTTAATCAGTCTGCAAGAAATAATGAGAGTGGATAGCCCTATATTCTGCTAATCACACCTGGTCTTTCCATTCAGCTCTTCTGAAACAGTAAATTTTAGAGTCATGAATGTGCTGAAGTGGGGTACAGTAGCAAGGGAGGACAGAATTGCTAAGTTAGTGGGAGAATAAAGTTTTCAGTGCATTGAGATAAACATTCTCTCTGTTGTTGTGATTTTAAAAGAAATTTCACCTCCAATGGGGCAACCCTGGATGTACAGACAGACAGGGAATGAGATCCTGGAAAGCAGCACCATGAAAAGGGACCTGGGGGTGTGGTCCATGTCCAGCTGGCCATGAGTCAGCAGGGCCCTGGCAGCCAGGAGGGACATCAGGGGCCAGCTGGGCACAGAGGGCGATTGTCCTGCTCTGCTCTGGGGTGGCCTCACCTCCAGTGCTGGGGGCAGTTTTGGGCACCACAATATAAAAAAGACATTAAGATGTTACAGAGCATCTAAAGGAAGGCTATGAAGATGGTGAAGGGCTTTGAGGGGAAGCTGTGTAAGGAACAGCTGAGGTCACTTGGTCTGTTCAGAGCAGGGGAGACTGAGGGGAGATCTCAGTGCAGTTACATTGAGGGCAAGAGGAGGGACAGGCACTGATCTCTCTTTGTGGTGACAGTGACAGGACCCAAGGGAATGGCCTGAAGTTGTGTCAGGGGAGGCTTATATCAGGTATCAGGAAAAGGTTCTTCATCCAGAGGGTGATTGGCCACTGGAACAGGCTCCTCAAGGACCGGGTCACAGCTCCAAGCCTGACAGCATCCAAGAAGTGTTTGGATAATGCTCTCAGCATGGGAGGTGTGGACATTTCTTAGAGATGTCCTATGCAGATGTAACAGTTGTACCTAATGATCCTTGAGGGTTCCTTCCAATTTAGTATATTCTGGGATTACGTACAAATAATAATTTATGATAAACCAGCCAGGGTGCCACTGGGATATCATTGGATTCCCAAAATCTATCTTGCAGTCCATTACACGGCTCCATTGTCCAACACAAGAGGGAGCTGAAATATCTAGAGAAAAACCCAAGTGCTGCTACATCCCCTGGCATCCCCCTGGATTGTGCCCAGCACTCCAGGGTGGTGGTGAGGCACACAGGGCTCAAGCACTGCACCTCAGATGGCTCAGCTGCTCTCCGTGCTCTGGGCTGTAGGACAGCACTGTCCCAGAGCCAGGATATCCTTCAGCACTGCAGCTGTGCCCACTCAGAGCTCTTTACAAAGCATCCAGGCAGCTCAGAGAGCAGCCCCAGGTGGGGCAGAGCTGGGCCTGAGCCAGGCTACCCCTGTGGCACTCCATGGGAGCCACGCTGCTCTGTGCACTGCAGCCCCAGCCCAAGTTCCAGCGAGGAGACCCTGGTGAGGAGCCCGCGTGGAGGCAGCTCAGCTCCACAGGTCGTGCACCACAGGCTCTGCCTCCCACTGCTCTGTAGACACAAACTGCCACAAAACCACAGGTGAATGTAAGATGAATATCAGTAGTGCTGTTTGTGAAATAAAAATACCTGGAGCCTGGCAAACTGCAGAAAAGGCTCTATCCACATCGTGTATCTAGCCTAACCTTCCACAGGTAAAGGAAAACCACGTCATGCTCTGAAGGAAACTGGCAGCAATGATGACTGAACTGTGGTTGCCCAAATATATAACACAGAAGATGCATGTAGAATAGCCTTCTAATTGAGCACAATTATCATGCTCCAAATTGCCTTCTAAATTGAGTATGCAATTTAATTTCTATAGATTGCACATTGTATACACTTACAGTTCTTTTAGCATCCTCAATCTACAACTTCCATTAAGTTTTAAATCATAAAAACATAGTCTAATTACTAGGATAGGGAATATAGCTTGGGACACCAGGACTATGCCTATTTATACCTTGTCCATTTTGCTGATTCTTAGTTTATGCAAACCATTTCGGTTTGATCTCATAAATATGACTACTAACTTTTAGAAGTACTTAGATGTTCCTAGAAGTACTTAATATGTTAACTAGCAAATACATTTGTTAGTTAACATACTAATTTACTGACAAGTGATGACATTTTTGAATTCTAAATCAATCTGATGCAACACACGTAAAATTTAGATAAATGACACTCTTCTATTGAGCACATCAAATTTAGGCAAGTAACTTTTACCACTAATAAAAAGTGAAAGAATGAGCTTATAGAGCTGTGTCATAAACATATTTGGACCAAAAATAAAAATTATGATTAATTTTGTATTGAAAAAAAGAGACTTACTCCAAGACCTTAAACTTGATTTATTTATGCAAAATTTTCTAAATTTCTAAAAGACAATGACATAAATCTGTCCAGGGATGAATAATACATAAAGCTCCCTAGAAAGTACCAGTCTGACAAAACCATCCCAGAGAATTCCACACCTAAAACTCTTAAATCCTGTTTTCTGGCTATAGCTTAAATATGTTGGAGTAAAAATGATAGAATAATTTTCAGATCACAACCCTTGGTATTTCTTTATTTCCTGGTTTGATTCCCTGTTTATGTACAGATATTCACCACTTCCATAACAAATATGTTCTGAATTGCACAGAGACAAAGCACACATTTATAATGATCCTTATTTTACAGCTGGGAAAGACAAGACACAGAAGAATTTATTGGTTCCAACATTTCCTGTTATTAAAACGATAACTGGATCCTTCATTTACTGAGTCCTACTGAGCAGCTGCCCCACTACCTCCTCAATAATTTGTTTTTTGTAGGATTTATGTGTGAGTACCAATCAGCTGAGCTGCCTGTGGGCTGTTCAGGGTCTGATGCCAAATTAAAGGAGACCCAAGTGCTGCACAAAGACAAAACAGAGTCAGTGGTACCAACAAACAAATCACTGTTTGCAGATTTCTTTGGAGGTATTTCCCTTTAGCTGAATGCAATGTGGAAGTAAGGCAGGAACTGGTGCCAGAGTCCTTGGGTGACTAGGAAAATCTTCCCAGAAGAGAGCATGGGGAAGGAGAGAATGAGAAGAAATTTCCCTTGGGAGGAACCAGAATGTCTGAATGCAGCTCCAAATGGAGAGCCCTCCACATTCCTGCCCCTCCCACAGGAATGGAGGAGGTGGACAGACTCCTAGAACCTGGATGTACCATCTCAAAGTCATTGCAAATGTAATTTGTCTCCCTTACATGGGATGCAATCTTAGGATAAACCAAGCTCCTTTGCACAAATCCCTGATTTCTAGTACATGTAGTTTGATTCTTGGTGCTGTTTTAATTAAATATTCCTAGAGCTCAGAATAGAATATCAGAAAGTTTAAACAATTTATTTGTTTCTCTTGCATTTTGTCCAGCCTAATAAAATAGACCCCTATTCTACTGTCAACTTCATCTGTTGTTCTCAGCCTTTCCCCCCATAACAGTCTCTTCTCATTTTTGCATGTATTTCTCATCTACTTTAATTCTTTTCTCAATAAAAATCTACAAGCAAAACACTAATTCTAGTTGTCTTACTACCAATGGTTTTTCCTTTCTTTTTGACTCATTTGAATTCTGAGAGTTTATTTTGTTAGCAGAATTGGACAAACATCTCTCTATTTATGAAACAAGGATTGCTTTCAGAAACTTTTACTTAAGACATGCTTTGGACATAATTTGAAGGCGTTAACAGAAAACAGAGCTTCTCAAAGCACCTCCACTGACTGCCAGTGATGCCAGTGGGGTTTCTACTGCTGCCATTCCCATTCCTGCTGCCCACAACACGAGAGGTGCAAAAGCCTTTTCCCCCAGTGACTTCACTTTGTTTCTGTGTATCTGGTGTGTAGGCGAGGAGTTCTGCACCTGCACGAGAGCCGTGGGATCCATGACCTTGGCTTGCCTCGCTGGCAACTTGCCCTCTGCCTCTTGGTGGTGGTAATCATTCTTTTCTTTAGTCTGTGGAAAGGCGTGAAGACTTCAGGAAAGGTAGAGCTCATATTGTCCTTCTGTCTTGACTACGTTCTTTTTCTACTTTAAGAAGTCTCCTAATTTTAGAAAGCAAGAAAATAAATCACCGATTTGAAGCATCCTCAGGAACCAAACGATCACATTTCTTGTGTGATATTCCGACTGAAAATTTTATTAATGTATTATTTTCAATTCAACATTGGTGGTTTCACCCAGAAAGTATTTTTAAATAAACAAAATTGTCTTAAATGTGCATCATCTTCTTAGCCAAATGTACTAATATTTCAATGATATAAGAGGTTTTGGTTTTATTATATAAAATGCCATGTCAAGAGAAATATCTGATGAAAGTCATGGGGAATCACTCTTTGACATCCCTCACAAAATACCTCAACAGAAATTCTAGAGTTGGATACCTCTGAGAGGTTTTTGTACATTTTTATGAAATGATCACTTAACATCAGGCAATGACTGCACTTTTTAGTAAACAACAGAGAGATGAGGAGCAATCAGCAGTCTAACATACACTGACACTGTCTTCTGTTTGTCAAAACTCTCTCCTACTAGCATCTGTAAACTTATATATGAAAAGATTCATGGCATACAACAGCATTTTTCCTCCTAAAAAGAGCTCCTCCATCTGACTGAATGGACTAAACCAAGAAAATTCCAGCTGTACTTATTACATATTCTTAAATCTTCTATAACAGCTGATTAACCTTGGGATCTCTGTTGTCTGCAGGTTGTTTGGATAACAGCCACTTTGCCTTATGTTGTATTATTTGTCTTATTAATACATGGAATAACCCTGCCTGGTGCATACAATGGAATAAATGCATACCTGCATATAGATTTCAGAAGATTAAAAGAAGCCACAGTAAGTGTACTCTTCTGTTCTCATTCCCTAATTATTAAACCTATTGCCTGTGTTATTGAAACTGAAGATATTACAACTAACCTGAAATTAAATAGCCATGCTCCTGCTTCTGCCTAAGCACTGGTCCCCTTTCTATGACAGTTTAACTTTCCAATGCTCTCCAAAACAGGATTATCTCACTCTAAACCCAAACAATTCAGATCACAAAACACTCTGTGAAGGCACTTACAGGTGTGGCAGACCCCTGAAAAAGTCCATTCTTTGACTGTGCACCCAGTCAACTGCAATATCCTTTATACAGGAAATTGGAATGCAAAAATTTAGTTCTCAAAAGGCTAAGAATTCCCTCAAGAAGAAAAATCTTGCTTTCTGAACAACTAGCTTAAATACTAACCTAGAAAACAAAAATACTGACCTATGCAAACCTTGCTAAACATACAAGACCAGGACTAAATCACCTAATCAAACCATGGTCCTTCATACAAATAAGATTTTCAAAAGTACAATGTTCTTATTTTACTATTGAAAGTAACATACATTTCATTCTATCACTGAATATATACAAACCAACCCAATTTGTGGAGTAACTTGGAACTACGACTTATTTGTAAAGCAAAATCTACACATACAGTCACTAATACATGAAATTGGCAGCATTTTAGATCTATAAACATCAAAGACAACAGAGATATTTACTCCCTTCTACTATCCCAAAAATGACATAAAACATTTATAAGACATTAGTGTCTCTATGGATGGGTCACAAGGCCATTCAAATAGTTATAAATCTGAAAAGAAACAATATCATTTTACTAGAGGGAAATGCATCATCTTGAAAAATTGCAGCTTTCAGAAATGTCTGCAGTCTGTCCATAGTTGCACAGTACCTTTCCTGTGAATCCTAGCTTGACTTTTCCAGAATTATTAAAAAAGTCTTCAAGTGTTATAATATAGATATATTTTTAATATTCTTAGCCAAAAAAAGACATTCCTGACTTTTTAATGCTAAATTTGAAAGCAGGAATTTCTTCAAAAATAGACCCAGACCCCATGTCTATTTTGGAATAATCCAATCAAACTTCAAATTTGGGATTTTCATCCACCTTTGTCAGAAGGCAGTAGCCACCCCAGTAATTCACATTTATGCATACACATAAATACAAAGACATCAAGATGAGCAAAGCCAGTGCTCATATTTTTCTAATATATTTTAAGTGCTATTTGGAAATAAACACCACAATTTCAAGTAGATGTCTATTGAGCTGTACTAGCTGTACCAGGCCTCTATAACCATATCTGCCTTCTGCTTCTGGAAGGACATTCTGTGTGCTGCTCTTTCTTGGCTTAATATTTCTGCAGCTGCTATTTAAATGACCCTCAAGTTATTTGTTTCTACAACTACGTTTTTCAGACAACAACAAAAAGTTACACTAGAATAATAAAAGGCCAAAGAGCACTTATTCTGAGAAGTGCCACAAACTGCTTTGTCATGCCAACCCTTCCCCAGTGGGATCCCTGCTGCTGCAGTAACCTTGTGTGTTTAATCTTTGTCCTCAGGCTCCAAAGAATAGAATCCCACTTCATTTCTATGTCAGTGTATGTCAATGCATCCCTGGATGTGATATATGATTTTTAAAATTTCTTCCAAATGAAGAATCTGACAAAGAAACATCCTAAGTCACAAACAGTGATGCCCCACAGAGGGCTCTGCCAAGGCTCTTCTAAGAGCCCTTAGAGCACCATGGCCACTGTCAGGGTGTGCCCCATTTTGTGGAGCCAAAACTGCACTGCACAGAAGTTACAACAGCATAAACACCAAAGAAGGCTGGAAAGACTGATGACTGCCTATTGTAAATGGTTCCTATTTATTTTTAATACAAATAAAACCAATATTCTATCATAAAATATATTCAATCACACATCAATCAAAAGCTGTGAAAATGAGAAACGTGAACTGCAAAACGAGCCATGCTGTCTTACATCCTGCTTGGTTAGAACAAAGAGAATGTTTTACATTTAATCCTAATTGTGAAGGAATTTCTGGTTTCTGCTCTTTTTTCCCTTCACCTTGATCTTCTCAATTTGTTTCCTAATCAGCTGCTATGAGCCAAGACTCTTACTCAACAGATACTTCAGCATGTGCTTAAATCCTTTGGGAGGCAGCAGGTGCTGATCTCTTACTTGAGTCAACAGGACTTAAGCATGTGCTTAAGGGTGCATGAAAAGTGGGCAAGGGTGAGTAAAACTGCACTAGCAATATACAAAAGAGACACAGAACCACTGAAAACTAGTGTCTTATGGTGGCAGTATGCAGATCTGGTTAAGAGTTTAACAAAACTGGTATTGAAAATGCCCAGGAATTTTGTTGACAACTAAAGTTATCTGAATTTTTCAAAAAACAAAAACAAACATAGGAGACTGCATCCCTGCTTCTGCATTCCTATCCACATAAATGTTATTCATAGAGTACAACTCAATATGATTTCAACCTTTGTGTGAAAATAGAATATTAAGATATTACTGGTATATAAAAAGAATGAGTATGGAATTAAGGTTACAGGATTGGTTTGTAATTCATTGAAAGAAATCCATAAAACCCTGCATTAACTACAATTTGATAAAATCATATCCTCCTATCCACTGGCTAGCAATAAACACTCCACAGACTGCTTTTCATATTATCTTTCAAGTAATCAACTCTCCATAGTTCATAAAATTAAGGTTTTTTACAAACCCAGAGTACCATAAGTCGTTCACAGTGTCCAGCAGGCAGCAGTTGAAAGCATCTGTCATCTATGTTGAGAGAAAAAAAGAGATTGACAGCCTAAGTGCTTTCATATATCATGTCAGCATGGGAGAAGGCACTCTCTTCCTTTCCACTAGGCCAAATATAAAGTGTAGCACTAAACTACCAATGCAGAGGGAGCTCATAAGCTGCTTAGATCGATCAGAAAGTTGCTGCTGAATAGATATATTAGATCTGATTTTGTAGAGATGGATGAATGATGAAACCCAGTGCTTTTCATAGTTTTTTCTGAGTTCTTGGCAGATTTAATCAAACATTGCAGATCTCATTTTGAGAAATGTTGGGTATTATTCACACCACTGATTTCACTACTTCTGTTGAAGATGGTCATTTAAAAGTCTGTGTAACAACAGAAGAGGGTTAACCAAGGCTATTCTCAGGTTTCTGGTTCAGAGAACCAGGACTGTGGCATTGTTCCTGTCTGGATGAATGGCTATTGGTAGAAGGGACACTTTAGAAAATATTGTACTTTTACAGTGTTTCCCTGGTAGACAATCCTTAAAATTATCAAACTGCAGCTAAACTGAAATTTAATGACTATCACAGAAATATCTCTTTCTCCAACTAAGTGAGAAAGATGAGATAAATCTTGCATGGCTCTGTTCACAGCACATCAGTCATGCTTCAGCTCCTGAACCAGGAAAGTATCATGTAGAGTGCACTAACAGTCACACAAAGGAAGCTTTGGTATGGGAAAGAAAATGTCCTATAACTCTTGACCCATTAACTATTTTTAGATTTCTGGTTGTACATTGCAAGCTAACTTGGAACAAGAGCTGTTGGAAGCGTATTTCTGTCACCCAGGAGAAAAGCCCCTGTGATCCTTTCAGTGCTGGGTAAAGCCCCAGAAGCGCCTGTCCCCCTGCACAGCCCCCGGGCAGCAGTGTGTGTGTGCTCTGAGGGCTCTTCCCCTGCTCCTGCTCCCCCCTCCCCATTCCAGAGGCCATCCCAGAGCAGGGCCATGCTCCTTGTGACACTTCCCTCCCCTTGGCATGAATGCCAATTTCTTTCCAAAAGCCCTGCTCTTGCTTTTCTCCTGCTGCATCCTTGTGGACTGAGCTGACCCTGGCACTGTTGGTGTCATTCTGCAGGTATGGATTGATGCAGCTACTCAGATATTTTACTCCTTAGGAGCTGGGTTTGGTGTTTTAATTGCATTTGCCAGTTACAATAAGTTCGACAACAACTGCTACAGGTAAGAGCCTATTCTTCCGTTCCTGCTGCAAAATTATTTTATTTTGCTCCGGCTGCAGCTGGAAGAACTTTTAAGCAATCATTTTATCTTCAGTCATATATTAATGATGGTGAGTTTTGTGTAGACATAGTAACCAACCCAAATCTTGAAATACTGTCTTCCTTACTGAATTTTTAGTAACAGGAACCTGCCAAGATATCTGCTGCTCTCCAAAGCAGAATGGGATTAGGTTTGGACTTTAGACAGCTGTGTAAACTATACTGGTGTTTGCCTTTCAAAAGTACCATTAAGCACAATAGTGAACACAGGATAAAATCTTATTGGTGCAGAAACAAAAAGCAGAAAGATTCCAGCTTCCAGAAGTGTTTCTGTGCTTTGGGATTATATTTCTGATATTTTACATTGTGCTCCAGTTTAGGAATGCACTTTAAATCAAGTCAGTTTGTAAGTGTTTTGCTGAATCACCACCATGGAAATTCAACCAGAATCACTCTGCACCATCTGAGAAATTCCAACATTTAAATGTTTTTTTTAACATTAAATTTTGGAATGAAAACAAGCAAGTCTTTTCCAATGAAATATAAATTCAGAAAGTACATATATTATAAATGCATTGTAAACTGAAGGATGGGGGGAAAATGTTAAAGGAAATCCCCATCTAGTTCTTAAAGTTTTTTCTCACTGGGCTGTTCTTCTCTCCATGTTTAGGGATGCTTTGCTGACTAGCACCATTAACTGTGTCACAAGCTTCATCTCAGGATTTGCAATTTTCTCCATATTGGGCTACATGGCTCATGAGCACAAAGTTAAAATTGAGGATGTAGCTACTGAAGGTAGGAAGTTAATTCTATATTAATTTTAACCCTTCTCCCCCACCATTTCTTTGCAAATGTGTTTATATTTGATTCCAGCAAGTGTGTGAAAATCTCATGGAAGTAAACTGAATTAACTTACTTGGAACTAGAACTCTGTGTTTAAATCCCTTGTTGAAACGTGAACTCTCAATGGCATTGATTCACCTCACCTCTCCTGAACTGAGCTTCCCCAGAATCTTACCCCCACAGGTTTTGCCCATTCAACAGACAGATGTTAACCACTGGACAGAATCTTACAAAAGTATTGCTGTTCAGTGCCACAGGTGACTGGTTTTGATGGTTCTGCTAAGTTCAGCTCTACATTCTTTACTGGGAACAAGTCACTCATGGTCCCAGCTCCTGCACCTCTCATCACATCCAAAAGTTCTCTTGCTAAACAAAGGCAACACTTCACCACTACATAGAAGAATAAATAGTAAAGTTGCAAATCCAATAAAATATTATTCAAAGTGGACAACAGTGGGATAGTGTCTTTTTAATACTAAATCATCATGAGTAGGTAAATATGCATTTTAAATATATTTTGGTATAACGCAAATTTTGTTTTAACAATAGTCAGACCATGACAAGGACTGAAATGAAAGTCAACTTAGTCATGATTTATCTTATTAAAATGAACACTTTGGTGAAGATAAGAAACATAATGAAGTGACACCTCCTTCTCCCCTTTTCCATTCCAGGAGCTGGTTTAGTTTTCATCCTGTACCCAGAGGCAATTTCAACTCTTTCAGGATCTACATTTTGGGCTGTGGTGTTCTTCATCATGCTCCTTACACTTGGTATCGACAGTTCTGTGAGTACTTTTTCCTTCTAGCCTTGGCATTGTCCTTTTCCTGTCATATTTTGTTACTAAAGAGGCATTTGCCTTAAGCAGATTACATTTCAAGTAAACATTCTGTACATTTCCTAAATCTGTTTCCACAGTCATAGAGAACATGGCAATACTATTACTTGCTGCCTTATAAAGACTGTCCATCATCAAGAGGTTTAGGAAAAGATTAAATCTCTGACTAACCAGTAAATATTTACTCCCTGCTATTTTTTTATGACTTTTCAGAAGGGCTATTCAACAATTATTACTATTTAAAGGTCCAACAACACTACTATGAACTATTACTACTATGAACCTGCAAAAAGGTTTTGAAGCCCTGCTTGCAAAATACAAGTAAGACATTGAGTAGAGTGGTTTCTAGAAGGGATTATTTTATGTGCTAAAATCCACTAATCTGCTCTAGACAGACAATGTCTGAAGGTACTCCCATTGTTTTTCTACAAGCCATGATACAGAATTTCCTGTAAATTTAATCACAAGTTTAAAATCATGCCAGAATATTTCCATAGCAGTTTTGTTTTCCTATAATCTTACTGTAAAATGTCTAGTCTAACAAGTGTATTTGCTCTTTGATGAGGTAAGTTTTACAACATGATATTCAGGATCATAGAAGCTTCATCCCAGAAAATATTCCAAGTCCCCAAACAACTTTTGTACTACTTTTTTCTACCAAAGAGGCCTCAAGACATCCTGTTATATTTAGCTTAAAGGTTAATACATTTCTGGAGAACCAGATAGGGTCTTTAAGAAATAGTAAAACCATGGACAAACTTTTATCCTCTTTAGTAGGGTAAGGGGTTTCTTACTATTCCAAAGCATAGAAGTCTCTTTTGAAGTTCAGAATGTCCAAAGTTGATCCAGGAATTTCTTGCTGGAAATGGTAAAACACTGTATTTCCATTGCTTAAAACTTCAGGAAAATTCATTCCTTTTCAAGGGCAAGAAAGGGAATTAATGAATTGATATGGAAAAAAGCAAAAAAAAAAAAAAAAAAAAAAAAAAAAAAAAAAAAAAAAAAAAAAAAAAAAAAAAAAAAAAAAAAAAAAGGGTTGAAGCAGGAAGCTTTGATAATCATTGGCAAATAGCTAAATAAGATCTTGTGGAGTGAGGGCTGAGCTGTAAAGGTCAGATTCAGGTCTAAATATTTCCAAAGTGTTTGGATTTTTGGATTCCAGCTGAGGCCCAATGAAATTTGTCTATATAGACTAAGATCTGCATCCTTAGACAAAAGTTTGAGGGAAGATTATATCTGGAATTGTAGCTTTTTCAACTGCACCTTTTTTAACTGTAAGCAAATAGAAATGATTGAAATGAAGGGTTTATTGCAGTGAAAAGACATGAATGACCAGTAGGAAAAGGACAGAATGAAGAAGAAAATTTATGTTGAGAAGTGTCTAGATCCAAAACAGTTAACTTTGCAACAGCAGTAATGTAGGGCAATATAAAGAAACATAAAAGTGACACTGTAGGTTGCAGAACACAATTTTCCTACAAATAGAGAAAAGTTTTTCTGCTGGAGCTAATTAAAATACAGTGAACTAGTCAGCTGTGGCCAAGTTTAGTTCTTTCTTTCTAAAAAGGGAAGGATTTACTGGTTCAAGATTTGTCATAATTTGCCAAAGAAAATTCAGGTCCTGGAGTACTTTTTATGGTGATAATTCTCTGTTACTGATTTCAACCAGGAATATTTTAATCAAAGGCTTATAGGAACAGGACAGGCTGTGTTAGCACCTGCTAACCAAATTTTGTATTGCACCAGGCACTTCAGGTCTTGCTGTGGTCTTTTAGCATCACAAAATGCATAGAATTAAGCTTCTCCAAAATATTAAATAAATTTGTTTACTATGATAAAAGATTGAAATTAATTTTCATAGCTTTTTGTTGGCATTTAGGGGCAGATTTTTTTCATTAATGGAAAGAAATTAAAATTCATAACCACCTACATAATCCAGCAATTTAAATGAAAATTTGGAAAGTACCTTTCCTGTATTGCAAAACAATAGCTAATGTCCCACATTAACTTCTGAAAAGCAAAGTAAAATTCTTTCATGTTGTCAACAAAAAAAAATCACATCAACCTTCCTTTGTAGTAATTTATAGACTTCTTCCAAGTCTGTAAAGATTTTTGTCAAACTGGATTCATTAATCAATGGCTAATGCAAATCTTTGTTCAGTACATTTCCTTTAGGTGCTTGCCATGCCTGTCTTTAAGAAATATCTTAAGGAGCTTAGCTACTTAAGCTAGCAGCTTTTCCCCCGGAGTATATTCAAATGTGTATCCTTTTCCCCAAAGTACTGTCTACTTATTGTTCTGTTGAGTCAGCAAAGAGTCCTCAGAGGCTGTGGAGGCAGCAGCCACTCCTCTTGATGTCCAGTTCCCTGACCCAGAAGAAAATTAATCCTCATATCACCAGTTACTTACAGCTGAAATATCAGAAATCATAGTGGTTGGATATTAATTGCACAATCTGCTTTGCATTCTTCAGTCTGTATTTCCTACAGCCAGTAGCATTTAACCAGAGTTTGCCTTCCCTTTCTCAGATGGGTGGGATGGAGGCTGTCATCACTGGCTTGGCAGATGATTTCCACCTTCTGAAGCAGCACAGAAAGCTTTTCACCTTTGGTGTTTCTTTTGGCACTTTCCTACTTGGTCTTTTTTGCATTACCAATGTAAGTACAACAAAAGTTTCCCTCAAAACATTACCTAAAAATGCCATTAACATTTTCAGATGAAATATGGATAGGTTCAGATGACTACATTTGATTATAAATTTTAGTTCTTAAACAACTTCTATTCAGAACATCACTTTTAATATAATATATGAAGCTTCTCTAGTTTTTGGCACAAGATCATTTGCTATCAACCAAGCCTGTAAGTCTTTGTTCCAAACAACTATCTCTGCTATTGCTGGGTTTATTTGGTTCTGTGTGCTTTCTTTGGCATGTTTGTTTTTTTTTTGTTTGGTTGGTTTTGGATTTTCTAGTCACATTAAATGGAATTGTGTAGAGTGCTTATTCCTCTGTGAGGAGTTAAGAATTTCAAGTGACCAGACCATATATCTGTCCTCTTCTTGAAGAAAGTAAAAGACACTTACTGCTCATGGAAGGAGTGCAGAGTAATGAACTAGTCTCCCCACCTTGTTTCTTCTTGTTCCTTCATGTACCTAGATCTTGACATCTTTTACTGTTAACACCACATAAAGCACAAAGAAAACTTATCCTGAACATTCAATAACCTGTATTTATCACTACCATCAGACTGAATATTTTGCCTCATCTGGCATTTTAAAACTAATTAAGGAATTAAATTAATGAGTTCTAGGCAGGAGATAATTTTTCTTTTTTGGCCATAAAAAAACCAGAGAGACCTGTTAACTAACATACCAAAACTGTTAGAAAACAACTGAAACTTGAAGAAACGACCATGAAACCTGGTTTCATGTGCTGAACCTCTCTCCATCTCTAGAAATGGCTTCTACGTCTATTATTAAGATTAGTGAAATGGCATAACTTTATAAATAACAAAGAGCTTTTTATGTAAAAACACCCCAGTATTTTTGTTCCAGTCTTCTCAAACTGAGATATAGTGAGACTTTAAAAAAAGATATATCATTTTAAATATCTATCCTTTTAATACCATACTATTTCTATCAATACCTAAAAATTGGACAAGCTCCTGTTTATTCAAAGTTTCAACTGGAATAAAATATCCTGAAATACAATATCAGAAGAAATTAATTGTTAAGAACCAGAAGATGTGCCAGTGGGTGCAATTCCACTGCCTCCAAGTGAACTAAAGCTATTCAAAATAATGACCTAACTTTAGCTTTTAAATAATGGCACCTGTTTAGGCTGAAGTTCACCCCTCCAGCTGGAATTCACAAACTGTCCAGAATAGTCCAAACGAATTGGTTCACATAACTAAAGGACAACATTTCTGATGTGTAAAAGATAAAAAGGAAAACCCTTGTGAGCACATCATATGAAATTGTTTGATTTTGGCCCCTGAATTTTTAAGGCTATATTTTCAAAAATAACTGTTTCTGAAATAAGCATGTTTCTTACAAAATCATTAGTAATTCACTTTGCTAAGTTTGATTGAAAATGCATTCATTTGGAGCAGTTGTAGAGCAAAAACAAGAGGTCAAACTCAAATGTCATTCAATAAGCAACATTTTCTAACACAATAACCAAACTTCATTCCATTTCTGGACAAGTCCCCACAGCATTAAAGACCTGCATGAGGCCTGAGTACTGCTCTCCCTATTTTTGTAAATATGCACAGCTGTTTCAGAAAAAGACATCTTTATAAAATAAAAGGCAACTGATTACAGAGACTAGAATCACCTACAGATTTAAACAATACAAGTGCTATTTCTACCACTGGTGGTAAAATAATTCCCTTTGTTCCTCCCCTTCTGAACAGGCATCATCAGATTAAATTTGGTTGTAAAAAGATATTTTAACAAAAATCTACTGCCACTGCAAACATTTCAGTTGTTTCCATGTGACAAAGTATCCTGACACACTTTATCAGGGTTCATTTTGAAACAAATCTGGATCTCATGGTTTTCCATTCACCTTTAGCTGAAACTCAGTAAAATGTGTCATAATTTTCACAAATACACACCACACTGTAAAACATGGAAAAAAGTAGTAAAATTGCAGCTAAAAAAAAAAAAAAAAAAAAAAAAAAAAAAAAAAAAAAAAAAAAAAACACAAAACAAAACAAAAAAAAACCAAAAAAACCCCAAAAAAACTAACAGGGCTTCAGTCAATTCATTTCCAGTTCTCAGTCATGAACCACTGAAGCACAAAATGTGCTGTTGTGAAGGAAGACAAGGTATGTTCTCTCCACTGAGCGAAGGTTTGCAAATACCACAGCCCAGAGACTGGACAGGGCACAGCAGCTGCTTGCTCTGCTGGGGACACAATTTCCATCCCCTCCTGCCTTACAGAGCAGTGGCCAAGAGAGATGTAGGCACTCAGGGAAAAGAGAAATGAGACCAACTCACCCAAGACTCGCTGGCCTGCAGAGCAAGTGGCCTTAGGAGCAGAGTGACAGGTAAGGGCCTATGGAAACCCTTGCAGAGCTCCATTCCTGCCATTAATTTAGGAAGTTCATTAACTGCTGCAGACAGGCCCTGCCCTACAAGCTGCTGATCATTTCCCCAAACTTCCACTGAACAGGAGTGCCAAGAGAACTCATTAATCTAAGCTGAGGTTTCTCTTTCCCAGTGAAGTGAAGAGGACATAGGTGAACAAAAGCCTCTTTAGAAGAGTTGCAACTTTGATTGCACTATTTTGTATGCAAATATGAACCTGTGTCTGATGCATCAGATCCATACTAAAATACTTGGGTTCAGATAATGCTTCAAGTAAAGCAGATTTCTGTTAAGTGCATACTAAATTCTGAGGTGATTCTATTTGTAACTTCATGTCCTTGCATCTTTTAACTCCCTGTTGCAGGGTGGAATTTATGTGCTCACACTTCTGGACACATTTGCAGCTGGGACTTCAATATTGTTTGCAGTTCTAATGGAGGCAATTGGAGTTTCCTGGTTTTATGGTAAGCTTCTCCTTTTGTGTGTGCAAAAGCTTTTATGAAATTCCAAATTCTCATTACAGGCTTACACATCATTTTAAGGGAAAACAGCATAGCCTTGTATACACAAAACCATGACAAGTCAGGTTTCATAGAGTGATATTCATTTGATTTATGAGCAGTGACAGGAATGCAGACATTCAGTGGGCCAAGCTTTGAGACCCTGCACAAAGCCAAAGCAAACAGCCTTGTGAAAGGGGCTGTGATGGGATGGAAAAGTTACTCCTTCTGCCAGTATTTTACAACTCTTAGTATTGCTGATGACTTGCAGTAGCAGATTTAGATTTGGTACTTTCAAAGCAAGTAGATTAGCCTAAATATAGACTCACCTGTTTCTGCTTTTCATTAGTCAGGACCAATCTCAAGCACTCTTCACACAACACAAATAAAGGCAGTGTTTAGAGAGTTAGAATAATTCCTACATCAATCCATTCTGCTTGAGACAATATTCTACTTCATTGTAAAACACTAGCAGTTTATTTATTTTATTTCATAGAATGGTATAAAATACCCAACACACTGGATACTAGAAATTCTATTTCTCATATTTGATACTAATTTATGCCACAAAAAAGGAGTGGTGATTTACTTTATCCCAAATATGGCAAGCTTTAGGAGTATTTAGTTGACCTCTGGCACTAGACTCTATGCCAATCAGACTGCAGTGATATGCCATAGCCACCTAAAAAAAATATGGCCTCTTCTTTTCCTTCCTAATTTCCTCTTTATTCTCATGCTTTAGTTCCTCGTTGATCACAACTCTTTTCACTATTACCAGGTTTCAATGGCATAGCAGCCTGCAAATCTTCTTCCTTTTAAGTCTATATTGAATGAGTTGCCCTGATTCCCAATAAGATTGTTCTTCCTCTGAACACCATCATCATTTTTATTCAGACCTAGTATTTATACCTAATGTATGATTCAGAGGGTTCTTAGACATTAGGATTCTTATTATTTACCTCACTCAGTCACTTATTTATCCATTCATTCTGACTTCCTATGTTCTCCTAATCGAACTTTATCTTGCAGTTAAAAAACTGTTGAAGAGTGCGTGAAGTGAAAGAATGGCATCCATGCATAAAGCTGTTCAATCTATCAAAGGAAAAGTTTCTAGTTTTAATGCACTAATTCTGTCACCCAACATCAGCATGGAGCAAGCACCTGTCTCTCAAAACAACTGAGGCACTTTATTTCACAGACAAATGTCTTTAATCCCTGTAAAAGAGCTGAATGTGGACGAGTTATCACAGTTTAGCTTGGATGTAGAGACTTGTTTAGTTTCTAGGAGAAAGTTACTTTTGGCTACTATTAAAACAGGATTTACTGCACTTTACAGTAGCTAAGCTTTGTAGGTGGTTCACAGACCAGGCCAAAGTTAGTTAAATTTTATTTTACACCTCCTGTCTTTATAATTTTTTTCCTTTCTTCCAGCAGCCTCCCCATAATTGGGAAAATATCTATTCATTTTTCTTGAGCAGCTGACAGATGTTTCTACTGACACAGCATGACCTGTTGCTTTATAAAGAACTTATTACAGCCCCAGGTGCTATTTAAACTTATTAAATCTGGCATGATCTTGTCTGCCTCTTTTTTCTGATAGACCCCTCTTGCCTTAATGACCTAGCTGAATATTAAGCCAGCCTAAAGGCAAGCATTGACATTTTGGCACAGACTAAAAACACGGAAATTTAGTTCAAATTATATCTATGACCATTTATTGTGAAGTTTTTCCTGAAAAGGCCAACTGTGTATGTAAGAGAAGGAAGAGCTAGTTTCCTTTACTGTGCAGATGAACCTTAGTTATGACTGCTAAGTTGTTACCAATTTTCCTCATGTGCAACCCTGATATCATCTTTCTGGTTAATATTCTATTTTGATGTATTTAACCAGCTCCTAATAAAAAAAATTAAGTATCTCTGAAACCAAGCCCTACAGGTGCCATCATCTGTAGCTATAGCTGTGTTCTGCTTAAAAGTTTATTCTTAGTACAATTATTTGAAGACATGCAGTACTGAAAAAGAAAATTGTGGAAAAGTGCAGTCTTAGAGCATGGCCTATTCATCCCCCATTTTCAGCAGAAATTGAGCACCAAGCACTGTCTGAGGTCCATGTGCATCTGTCTGGAAACATATGAATAAAATTCTGATATACATAGACTTTGTCTTTGACCTTCTTCACAATGATAAATTTCAGTCAGTGCTCATAGCAGTTAAAATTTAGTCACTTTAAAGTTCACAGAAAGCACTGCAAATAGAATCAGATTAAGGTTAAAGAGCATTTGCAGATCCTTCTTGCCTATTTCTCTTCCCCTGGACATAATATTGGGGGCTGGAAATTGTTTTAAGACATTTGCACTCAAGTGTCCACACCCTGAAAATATTTTGCATCCAATTAGGTACAATGGACTAATTCAAGCTGACCCAATTATTTACATTAAATAAAATAAATTGTGCTGAACTGATCCACATAAAGAGAAATCATATTTATGGAAAACTATACATCCTCTCTAACAAACAAATATTAATGGAAAAAAGCTGCATTTCTGCTGTTTACCTAATGGGTTCATGATTATAAGTAAACTTTCTGAATACATTGAGCAAAGCAAATTGTAAACAAATAGTCTGACATGACAGAATGCACAGAGCCAACGTCTCTAAGGTGTATAGTCAGAGACTGTTTTCTTTTTACAGGAAACAGAGAAGGATATTTTTCCCCCCATTTTATATCAGTGTTAATTATCCCATTCTAAAGTGGTGTAGTTTTGTACATATTTACAATAAACAGAAGAATAATTGCCTGAGTTTTCTGGAAAAGTCATAAATATGAAATTATATTTGTAATAAAGAACATTCTTTGTTCAATGAAACACTGAAAAGTAAGCATCTCTTAAGTGGAACAAAGAAATCTCCTTTGATAAATTAAGAATCATATGAATCTATCTCATTATCAGCAAGCAGTTTCTGTAAGGGTTTACATTTTCCTGCAGTATACTCATAATAACAGAGGAATTAGGTTGAAATAATCCATAACTATTTTAAAAATTGTGTCCCATTTACAACTTAAATTCTAGATATTTGTGAAATGCCTCTTTTCAGTGGTAATGCTGCTGTCTGCAGCAGGCCTTAGGTGCTCATAAGCGTTTAAGTCAGATACAGTGATATAAAAGATACATCTAGACATTGAAAGGAGATGAAAGTTGTTATTTCTTATGTCTTCTGCTTTGAAAGTCATTCATGTCTGGTTTCTGAAAAAGATATTTTGGGTATGACAGCATCTCATCAGTTTAGACTGAAGTCAGTCTCATGCTTGCATCCATTCACACCCATTCTAGGTGTGGATAGATTCAGTGAAGACATCCAACAAATGATGGGTTTCAAACCAGGCCTCTACTGGAGACTGTGCTGGAAATTTGTTAGTCCTGCTTTTTTATTGGTAAGTGTTTATAATTATGCCATCGTGAAAAGAATACCAGTGCACTGCTTCCCAGAATATACAACAGATCCAAGAGCAAGATACCTATTGCTGTGCCAGATATTGTTGGGACAAATAGGAGACAGTCCAATTTAATGCTTTTTTTCTCCTTGAAATTACATGCTGGTTATATTTTGTATAATACATTTCAGTTATGGGAGAGAAGCTAATGGTGGTTGTGGTCTTCTTCTGATCTTTCATTTTAGTGTGATTTTAAGAAGGCAGCTTTTCTTAGGGAACATTTAGGACAGTCCTCCCTGTCCCTGTAGCACCTCTCTGTATTAAACACAAACCATTCCCTTGGGAAAATAAGCTAGCCAGGGATAAAAGATTGTGTTAGCAAAAATATATTTCTGATTGGAGGATACTAGGATCCCCAGTTTGTGAAATGACACCAGAGAAAAATTAATATACAGCTACATCTGTAATTAGCTGTGTGAAACACTGAAGAATTGTATAAAATGTACCTTGTAAGCTGCCTGTTGGAAAAAACAAGCATTCCATTGCATTAGGGAAAAAAAAATCCCAAAGTGTGAATTTGGTTGCTTTGTGTAAAGGTTAGATTCAGTACTAACCTCGAGTTTTATATTGGAATCTCTTCCTATGCATATTTGTAAATCAAAAGGTCAGGATAATAACACAGAAATTTGACCTCATTATGATTTTATGAGAAAATTCCTTGCATTAAAGCTCAACGATCTTAAAGCATTACTGGTATTGTGAATATACACTGGCTAGGCTTTTAGAACAGGTCCACATTTTTCTTAAATATAAAAGCTATGACCCCAATTCATCCATAAGCACCTACAAAGCCTGTACTAATTATCCTTTTAAACACAGTTCTAGAAAGGAACTTGTATGGAACTATATCCTGCAGCACTTCAAGCAGGCTGACTCAAGCAGAATGGGAAAAAGCTGGATAAAGCATCCTTTGATTCTGCACACAAGGAAACAGTTGAAAATTTACATTTTATCATGAGTGTAGTAATAACCAAGCTAAAAGTGGAGAGCCCACCAGTTTAACCTTAAGTAGTTTAAGATGTCTCAGTGAAAGATCCTCAACATCTTCCTAGGAAAGCCTGAAAACATAAGGGTCAGAATAAATCTGTAAATAACACATCTCTGAGCCATCACAATGCACACTCCTTTTTTTCCCTCTGTAAGTTCTTGAAGCTCTTTCTCTGTATTGTCTGCAGCTATGAACACAATCCCAAGAATAATCACAAAATAGAATTAGTATTTTTCTAACCAGATTCTACACTAAGATCTTCCTTTAACCCACACTATCCTGGTGTGGTCTTTAAAACCCTAGGCTCAAAATATTTTAACTGGAAATTGAAATATAGAGCAGAACATATAGCCCCAAAGAACCAAATCAAGGATATCTGCATGTTAAACAACCCCTATGGATTTAACAGCAGAGAAGTAGGGTGGTGCACCACTCTCTCCTTCTTGCATCTAGCACTGGACAGGGAAGCATAGGAAGAAAAAAAACAACTTTGTTTTCCAGGCCATAAGGCTGGTCTACCTTTCCTCAGTACATGTATCATTCTGGAGTTTGCATTATGTCTCTCATTGAAAAGTGGGTACAAAGCTTTTAAAGGAAGTCTAATATTCCTGGGAAATGAAAAGTAAAACCAACAGATCCTGCAGAGCTTTTTCTTGACTACAGAATCCCTTTTCTACATCTGAAACACTAGTTTAAGTGAAGCAGTAGTGGACAGTCACTTGATTTTCCCATCAAAATTTCAAATAATCTGTATCCACAGTAGTTAAATGAACTGTTAATACTAGTAAACACATCAAGAACTTCAACAGCTTAAGCAGGAAGAAGCCAAAGTAAACAGGCTGAAGGTCAATCAGAGTTGGTTTGAAACATACTTTAGGGTGGCTGCCTAATAGAACACCTGGAATCAATTGCAGTAAGGTTCTTCATCTTAAATCTGTGTTCATTTTATACTTTCTTCTCTAGTTTGTTGTGATAGTCAGCATAATAAATTTCAAACCTCTGACCTATGATGACTACACCTTCCCTCCATGGGCAAACCGCATTGGCTGGGGAATAGCTTTATCCTCCATGATCCTTGTGCCTGCCTATATCATCTATAAATTTATGAATGTGCGTGGGACCTTTAAAGAAGTAAGTGGAACACTAATCAAATGTCATGAAATGTTGCTGTGAAATGAAATGGCTGTGTCTAAATTGGCAGTTTATTTCTCTCCCAAAACTTATTACTTATGAGTGACCTTTTGAATCCATCTGTCAGGTGGATCAGTCGTTTGAGGTAGGATTACGGCACTCTGAGTTTATAGACAGAAATTAGCTTTCCAGACAGCACCATAATAATTGTGAAAAAAATATTTTTTATGCATGTAATTGATCCAATTGATGAGATCAGATTATTTTTTTAACAAAGAATGTGCAAATTATGCTTTCTTCACATTCAGCTATGAGGTATGGTCTTCAAACTGTTCTATACCTTGCTTTATTTGTCAGTTCAAAATGACACATGAATTAGGTTCACTAGCCATATCATTTTTACCATCATATTAACCTTCACTGTCTATATACTCTTATCTATAGTCTTAAAACCTCTAACAGTGCTCAGAAGCCTCCTCACCATTATACAGCACTGAGTTTTTTCCATCACATCATAATTTTACAACCTTATCCTGACCCACTGACTTACACCTAGTTCTACTGCTCTCCTTTCCTACAGCTACACTTACACAATGGTGTAGTAAGATTTTGATGTTCTTAGGCAAATCACTGAATCAACACCACATACAGAATTAAGCAGAAAATAAAATCTCAACCTTTACATAGATAGGTCATATCCCCCTCACAAAGGAACAAATTGTTTCCAAAACATTACAGTCAACCTCATGTAATGCTCACCATAGAAAGGCACCCCAAAGCTGAAACTTCTCAGCTGCCCTGTTTTTTTCAGGTCTAGCATCTCAATGTTGTGCACAATTTCTAGATCTCATTTCCAACAATTCCAACAATTCTATAAGCCCTTTGTGTTGTTCCATCCAGGGGAGGGTTACAAGCACATTTTCTAGGAGCATTTAAGTCTCAAAGAATAATTTGTACTGGCCCATCAGGCTTTTGCCCTCTTGCTTAAGTTTACTGATAGGGGGATGTAGAAGCCTTTGGCCAAAATCACATTCTCTCATTCATCTGTACTGTTAGCAAGTTCTGGTTCTGTTACTGCTGCTGCAAGGAGCAGCTCCCCAGTTTCCCCACCAGCATTATGGCAAAAGGCTAATACATGACATCCAAGTAACTAGCTCCAATATAATGCCTCAAAATTGAGGCTCTTTAAGGGATGGGGAAAGGTATGAACCTAATCTAATGGGAACTCCTTAAGTTGGTCAAAATTTCCTAATAGACTAAAATCTACATGTGATCTCAAAGGGCATGGCACGGGGTAGACAAGGGAGATGAGCTGGGAAATACCAGTGCCTCCTTCCTCTCCCACTCTGGGACCAGCCAGGCCTTTTACAGCACTAACAGAAAAAACATTAATTTAGGGAATCTAAGGCCTGTTATACCAACTTGTTCCTGATACTCTTTTCTATATGCACTTGCTAAATATTTGGACTTAGTATTTGCATAAACTTTCTACTGTTGCTTCTTATATTAAAGGCTAACACTCAAGGGCTTATGATAGGCTTATTCTCTCAGTGACTGAGTAAAGGCACATGATGCAGTGATATTAAAGACTTAAGTTACCATTTTAAATAAAGTTCATGCTACTTCCCCACTATAGATTGGGGATTACATACATAATCCCACTTCATATGGCTGACTTTTTCCTCTTCTTCCTGTCTGGTTTAGAGACTAGCTTACTGCATCACGCCTGAAAACGAGCACCAACTCGTGGCCCAAGGAAATGTCAGGCAGTTTAAGGTTAGTAGATCTTCACATGCTTCTTCTCCTGATACCATCCATTTCCTGTCTTTAGCAACAACTACAGCCTTGCTCCAATCTCCTCATGCTGGATGCCTTAGCAGGTCTGCAGTTCTTTATTTCTGCCAGCATGACAAGACGCAGGACACTCAGTACCACAAGCATCAACTCTTTTGGAAGGCTTTTGGGACCTTCCTTCTTTGCCTAAGGAGAGCCTCAATTTTACAGATCACCTGAATCTGGTATTTTAGGTTGTGTTTGAATATAGTGAGATTTCACCAAGAAACAAAGTTATTTCCAAACTAGTGCATTTGTATTTCCAAACTTGTGTCACTAGAGTCATGGCCTGTCACTCAGTTACTTGCACTTCAGCAAGCTGAAGTCATGTTTCTGAAACTGCAGTTATGTCATACACCATATGGTAAACACAAAATAAATATCCAGTGTCAGAGTTTACCTATAATGTCATGAAATTGTGTACCAGGTTACATGGAATTGGCTTTCCCCACAGGACTAGAGTTGATTGAAAACACTGCTGGAGACTTCATAAGCCATGAAAATTATACTCTAGGTTTCCAAATACTGCTTTCCATTTAGCAAATAAAATGAGCTTATTGAAATAAACTCCTTTATGTAGAGGATTAAAAGGATGCAAATGTGAAGCTTGTTACACTTATCAGCATTTCTGTCTTCAAAGTTGAAAGCAACTACAATTATGCACACCTCCACAAAATATGACCCAGATTTTATAGTGGTGGTTTGTATGTTGATACTGTAAAAATAAATATGGCTTTTGCTTTTTCTGAAAGATACTATTTGAAGTAAATTTTGGCTTTTAAAGGAAATATGTGCAGCTTTATGGGATGCAGAATGAAAGCATAAATAGGCTTCCTGTTTCATGACCACTATTTATTTGATGTGGTCAAGAATATAAAATAGCACAACACCTCTTCCTGCCTTCTCTTTCTTCTGTTTCTACCCTCAGCTGTCAGATGATTTACTGTTCCTGCTGTTACTCAGTGTTTCCAGAGGCAGATGTTCCTGTGTGAAAGGGCTATAAACAGCCACTCCACAGTGCTGGTGTTCTGAACACAAATCTATAACAAAACTAGCAAATTAATTTCACATAAACTAGTAAAGACCGTCCTCAGAAGTAAACAACTAAAGTTACCTCAAACCATGCTACATTATAAGAGCATTTTAATTTGCTGCCATCTTCAATGAACAGGTAGGAATGGGTTTGTTAATGCTAAAGCAGATTTAGTAATTTGCTCACAATGTTTAAGATTGTAAACAAAACACTGCCTACTATAACCAAAAAAATACAAATATTTTATTCCCATATATGTCTGGCAGTTCTGAATTTTAAAACTGAATTGAGATCTGGCTAAGTAGCCTTTACATTCAGCACATTTCTCACTGCAATCTGGACTGCATAGAAATTTAGTTACAGAACGGATAATCTATCCATTATTTTGAAACATCTTTGTAACCCTAGATTTGTCAAAAAAATGTATCTATCAGCATCATCATTTGAATCAATGATGTAATCTAACAACCACTTCTGTTTCCTTACAGCTCCAACACTGGCTAGCAATATGACAACCAACAGATCAAGGAAAAAGCCCACATTCAGCTAAACTGAGAATAAAGAAAAGTCAAGTTCAAAGCTCCCTCACTTATGCTTGGGCCAGGCTGGCCCAGAGTTTATCTACTGACTCCATGAGGGAAGACATCTGCTCTCTGTTGTCAATGCCTCCCTTCTATTACTTGGCTTCAAATGATCTTTAAAGACTCCGTTTAAGTTTTATTGCATCCTTTGGTGCCATGAGATCCCTACATGACCAAAACTTGTGAGTTTTGCTATAGGCAGAAGTGGAGGAGGGAGGAGCAGAGGAAAAGAACAATCAGCAAAAATTAAGTGCTTTTTTATTGTGAAGACGTGAATTAAACTTTTCTGACAGTAATAACTTCTTCAGATATTAATGCCACAATCTATTTTAAACCAACACCACCTGAGTGCTGTCAGATCTAAGGAAAGAATACACCTCAGTTATGACAAAAGAGCAATTTTAACTATGTCCTCATGTCATTAGCTTTCTTGCCATACTGTCCTTTGGGATGCAAGTTTGCATCCTTCTGAAGTGAAGACTCAGTGCTTCATTTTCAGTGGTTTGTTATTAGTTCGTTCTCTTGGTGAAGAACATTGTCTTTGCTGTACATATCTATGCCATTTTCTGACCAGTTTAATTACACTGAAACTGAAGAGCAGCAGGAAGAGAATTCCTGTTAGGTTACTAGTGTAGAACACAGCTTAATATCACAGTGTACTTCTTGAAAGAGATATTCCCTTATATCAACAATTTGAATGGCTTTATCATATGATCCACACTCTGCAGACTTTTCCAGCTAAACATGAAAGTTACATCCAAATAGACAGACTCTCATATTTTTGTTGTATTTTGTTCCAAATAAAGAGTGTAAAATACTTAAGTGATAATTTAAAAAAATATATAATTACCAAGTGGCACAAAAAACCAAATTCACAAATTACCCTGCTGTGAACATATTATAATTTAACCAGGATTCACCTACCAAAACATAGTTAGATTTTGTTGATTAACTTAATTATATTTTAGGCACAATCAGCTCTCTAAACCTATTCCCACTCTGTTCTCTAGTAGTATTATGCAAAGTAGAAGATACAGAACAAACTCTGCTTTTGGGTGCTGTTCTTACTCTGTGGTCACTTGTCACTGTAGTACCTTTCAAGTGATCACTACATTCAGTAGCTTTGAATTAGTTCTTGTGATTATTTATCACTAGGTCTACAGTAATTTTCTGAGGCAGTAGCTTCTCCGCTGGATCCAACACAGTTTACCTCTGGGCATTACCTCTGGTGTTTTTTGTCTATACATTCAGTTGAGCTTGTCTTTTAAATGTATGTAGTGCTTCCTCTTTTTTAAAAAAAGACCTTTTCAATGGATCTTCTTTTTTATTTATGAAACAATTTTTGTTGAGTTGTTTTCTTTTTTAAAATAGCCAAGTTTTAAAGTGCCAAGTGCTTTTGGGCTTTTTCTATTTAACATTGATTTCTGTTCAAAATAATGAAAGGGAAATTTCTCCCCTTATTCATTCTTTTCCTCCAAATATTCAATACTTCAGAGCAAATCAAGTGTTGTCCTTCTCTTGAAGAGTCTCTGTGACAAACAGTTTTATTTAAATAGGGATTTGAACCCAAAGAATACTTTCTTCTAATTATAAAGGAAGTTTTATTTTCTGGCCCCGGTGATGGCCAACAGCTGCTTAAACCTCATTATTAAATATATTTCAATAATAAAGGAATTCCAAATGTTGCAGTTCTAATGCTGTAATTACACAAGAGGCTAAATAGTGAAAACATATTGAAGGCTTTGAAAAAATCATCCCACCAACTTCTCAGTTAATCTCATTTTTATTGCTTGCCAAACGTCATGAGAATCTTTCCATTGTTTTAAAGCCTACTTTTCAACAATACAGCTGCTTCAGTCACTGTCTTGGCATGGCTCAAAAGCTTCTTAGCATAGATGCAACTACCAAGTTTAGAAACTTCTAGGGGCTGTTTAACATGGAGCTTTAATAGGTTGTCACTTTACACACTGTTTGGTTGGTTCATGATTGGAAATGCTAAAAACCTCCACCAATGTTCAGTTGTGGAGTCCATCAGCACCATCCCTACAGCACAACCCATGTAGGAAAAGTTACATTTCCTCACTGCTCTGCTCTGATATAGAAGCAAAGCTACCATCCATGGGAATACATCAGCTTTAGCCAGCGTGTTTGAGTTTGATTGTATTCTTAATATGGACTCCTAAGGCAATTACCCACTGCATTATTTTTATTTCTGTTACTGTGTAACTTCTTGGGTTTAATATAGTATTTATAGCTCAGGACTACATTGCACTATTGCCACCTTTTTCTGAGGTTTTCTAGGTAAAGAACTTGCAATCTATACTGAAGTCAAAAGTCTTACCAAAGGAATTAGGGATCTTATTACCAGAACTAGCCTGAATGAAAATATCAATACACACTGCATGACTGCATAGGCAGACTTTAAATTCAAGATATTGCCCAAAGAAAGTCTCCCTCCAAATAATATGACTTCTGTCCTAAAGACAAATATCTTAAATTCTCCACAGAATAAGATGATTAACTACCTCATGCCTCTTGGATGATGAATGATGCCATTAGACACAAACTAGCATCTATACAAATGACAAATACTTCTGTGAAGACCAGGTTATGTTCATTTTCTCCACTCAGTGATATGGTACAGACAGGCCAATAAGAAGCCATAACATGGGCACCCACCTCCTCTTACCCACCTGCTTTGGGCCCCCAGGTACATTTTCAATATGGAAAATATCAAATGCCACAGAGATACTCCTCTCCCTTTGGTTAAAACACCTGTACTTAAAAAACAAAACCAAAGACTCCAGTCAGGTCTTTATCATCCATGTCACTGAACTGCAAGTCTTCCCCTAACTCTATCTTGACTTTTCAGCCCAGCAGCTGACCCTTTCCCTCAGCTGCACCCATTTCAAGAGCAAACCCTCTCTGGGGAATGCCACTCTCCCAGATATCCCTGTGGAATTGCGTGTATATTCTGTCTGAGTAGGCAGCCCACTTTTTAAAGAAGAAAATTTTTGGTACAAGTTGCAGAATCATCTGCTTGTTAATTATGTTTGTTGTAACAAACCCATGGGAAGAATTCAGTGAAGCTGCTAAAGAGCTCATTTGACAGTTCTAGAAAATATTTCCTCAAAAGCCTTTTCTTAATCTGATAAAGGAAGCAGCTGTCATATATCAGTATATCTCTTCTGATCTTTCTTTTGACCAGTGAAAAAGACCTGCCTGATGATGTTTCATCAATCCACAGAAAGTTAGTCAGCACCAAAGAGAGAGACCCTCCATTCTCTCTTTGTACCCTTCCCTGCCATCATTCAGCCAGAAAATTCTTCACATCCTTGGAACTATTCTAAAACTACATTACTAAAACACCACAGATTTAAATTTCTGGAAGAAACAGTGGGCCTTTTAGGGCAATAGTCCAAAAAGCACTAGTACTATTTATTATTGGGCCCCTGTTTGACCAATATCTTTTTTATCAGTTCTTGTGTTCAGTCATGACCTGAGACATACACCCTGGCAACACTTGAAAGACATCTTACCATAGTGAGGGATTCTGCAGGATATCCAGGATCAAACATGATATTTTAAATTTAGAAAGTAGGAGAATTACTTGGCTGTTACTACTGAGCACATTCCCTGACTGCACGTGCAATGTGTTGTATGTACTTTTCCCAAAGGAAATTTCCTGTACTCAGTCATTTCTTCTCAGCAAAATACCATTTAACTACTATTTAAAAAGGGCAAGCCCATTTTTTATATACATTTACTTATCATACTATTGTTTTGACATCAATTAAGTTTATTTTGTACTGTTAAGTTGTAAGAGGCCACATCAAAGTTATTTTGCTGCTAATGTCTCTTTTGCAGTTCTTTCAATTCATACAGGATTAATTAGCAGATACTTGCTTTTATAGGAGTAGATAACTTTCATTCATATCTTGAACTGCTTCACTAAATTTCATGAGGATTTGGCAAATGTTCAAGAATTTCTTTCCTAAGAACCAAATTAAAACCGTAGTTCAACAATTTCAAAAGAGGTGAGACTTAAAGATGCTTTATTTGCAGTGCCACATTAAAACATTAAAATGAGCCCGAAGGACCCAGACATTGGAAAGCTATCACAGTTCAACAAATGACAATACATAACCCTACCTGCAGAAATTGTGTGAACCTTGAGCCTCTTGGAGCAGTAAACTGGGACTTTTTTGCTCTAACACAGTTCATGTACTCAATACTAGGAATATTTGTGGTCCACAGATCACCTCATGTAAGAGCCCAAATTTCTCAATGTGAAGGCTAACATGATGTTTTAGATTAAACCCCTGAACAACTTGGGAGACTTTCTCAGCTACTTCCTCTGACTCATATCCACATTCTTGTTGGTGATTGTGAGCTTACCTAGATAATCAGTGGAAAGTGATTAATTTGTACAGTAGTACTGATCAAATTTAGACCAAATTTAGGCACATCTAAATTCATCAGAGACGACTACAGATAGTTGCATAGGCAATAAAAGCATTCAATCAGTAAAAACATAACAAGGTAATACAGTCACTTTTAAGTACAGCATTTGATTGGCTTTCTTCACTACTAAAAACCAGAATGTGCTCAGAGAGATTGCAGTGGCTGTGTGGCTGACCAGAAAAGCAGGCCAAGGAACTGAAGACACCAGATGTGGCAGGAGCTCTCTGGCCACAGAGAGCAGGCATGGACTATGCCAGGGAAGGCTGTGAGAAGATCAGAGAAAAGAATGAGAAACAATTCCGATCTCCACTTGCTGCACCTGCTGTTGTGCACATGTGGAATGTGTCATGGAGATTTGGTTACCAAGGGGTGATTTCTTAATTGGACACTGGATGGTGTTTGGATGGATTGACCAATTAGGTCAAAGCTGTATCAAACTGGCTGGAAGAGTAACTGAGTTTCTTAATAAGTATAGTATAATATAGTATAAGATGATAAAAAAAAGCAATTGATCAACCTTCTACAATCATAGAGTCAATGCTAATTATTACCTGCCTGGGGGCCTGTGGCAAAAACCAGAAGGCTGCAAAAGACACAGCTATGATTGTGCTCAGTGAAATTGTGCTCTTAGAAGGACATGGAGGTCTCTAGATCTGAGTGGCTGGGAAGAGCAGGGGATAAATGGAGAGTTTAACCCTTGTGTACATTAACCATGAACTGCATTCATTCCCATAACAACAGGGGGCCTTTCCTGCCCAAGCACTCACAGCAAGATCGAGTCACCCCTGTGCTTTGCTTTCCTCCTTTAAGGCGTTTCTTTAGCTGCTGTACTAAACATGAGTTGCCTAATTTCATTATAAGGAAACAGAATAAATTCAGTGAATTGAGAGAATTACTAAGCCTTAAGCTGGCTTTCTTTTGCAGGTGTCATGTTGTTTCTTGGTCACTGCCAAGAGGCATTAAGCTTGAAGGTGACCTGCATCTGTAATTTACCTTGTACTCTCTGTGAACCTTTCTGCAAGACTTAGCTCTCCTTTGCTATGGGCAATATCAGTTACAAAGGGAGAACCTCCAAACAATACATTTTGAAAATAAATCCTAATAGGTCTAATGAAGATTTGCCTTACAAATAAAAGCTTTACAGTAAGCATTTACTTGGTTTACACCAGTGTTTTACTTAATTTTTAATGCCTTTTTATAGCAGTGACTAGACTTTAACTTCAATAAGGGTACCTCTGTATAGGAAATATTTTAATATTTTTACCAGTTTTTTTAATTTTCATAGAGTATATGTATATTGTAAGGCGAGAAATTCAACTTTGATGTAACAAGGTTATCACACAAGACCTATCTCTTCATTACACGATTTTGTAGTCAGCCAGTCTAGTTCAATAATATGTTGGCCTTTGATTATAAATGTAAAAATGTGATACAGGAGAATAGAACATTACCTACAGCTAATGCACATTGTAGCACAATATTCTCCATTGCTGCCTTAATCTCATGGAATGAAGTCATGTGTTTTTAATTTATTTTCTAAAGACAAACCAAAAAATCCAGAGTACCTTTTGGCTGCAATTTTGTGTTGTTAGATGACTTAACATTGAAGCAAATGTGTTAGTGTCCAGTAGATCTACTTCCAAAGCAAGAGAACACTTTGCAGTTTTCAGGAATAAGTCTTCATAGGATCTCTAAACTTGCCACTAGTAAAAATACTCTCCAAAGTGCCCCAGTGACCAAAAGTGTCCAAACACAGCCACCATGTTTCCATGCCCAATTCCATTAATTGTGCAATCTGCAGGCCAATTTTGCCTTTTTTTTTTTTTTTTTTAAAGTCTTTGGTTATCTGGGGGAAATGGCATTTCAAATTTATTTCATTAATTTTTGTTTGTTTCCAAGGGAGACACTTACATGCCCATGTGTATAATTAGAAACAACTGCATTTCTTATAAATATGGATATGGATGTGTGTGATGTGTGCTGGTTAACTATACTTAAAATGCTGATAAAGATGGTGAATGTAAAGTATTTGTCCTCATACCTGTCTTTCTGTGATCAGTGTAAATAAGAACTGTTTTAAGCTGTGCATTAATGTAACAGATTATCCCAATATTGTGTATAAAATTATTTAATTAAAATCTGACAAATATGCACATAAAAAGAGTATAAAGAAAAGGATTATGTACCAAGAATTTACTTCTGTCAATTAAAAGCTGAAATGAAATTTTTGGGTTTTATCGACATTATTCAAGCTGAAGCTTTGCAGGGGCAGCTGGTCCTTGGTTCAGGAGACAGCTGAAAACAAAATCACAAAAACTGGAAACCTCCATAGCTCTCAACCTTCAGGAGACTGCTCACATCCTTTCAGTGTCCAGTGGATGCAGTGGGCAGATTAATTTCTAAATTTGAACTCCTTTCAGCAAAATAACTACAGTAATGCAAATGAAGTCTTCACAACCACACATTGAAAGGAAATAATGAAGACCTTCTAGGAACATGAATCATGATGCATAGCACAGATAGCCTCCAAGGCTACATTGTTCTCCTTTTTACGAGAAATTATTTTTGTCTTGTTAATTTTGCCAAACGTAGTACTAGCCGTAATTTACAGATCAGCCAGGTAAAGGTGACCCTTAACCCAACATAAATGAAGAATAGATAACAATTATTTAACTTTTTTTACTAGAACTAAAACCTTTCTTATATTTCCACATCAATTTCTTACATTTCCACATCAATAATATACAGCACTATTTACAAAGGTACATTTTGTTAGACTATCTCGCTTGTCTCCATACAAATTTTATATTTAGAACATACAGAACCTAATGACCTTCCTTGCTGCTTTTTCCTTTAAGCAGATCTCAATATTATTAAGGTACAGCCTTTAATTGTTTATATTTCTCTATTGCCTTCAAGTAAGGAATGAATGGTTTAAACTATTTTAATACATCTGAAAGACTGAATAACAAAATTTTCATATGCCAGTTTTTAACTGTGTCAAACATCCAAACCCACAAATTAGTATTAAAACAATTAAAAGTTAAATAATTTCAAGATACTTTAAAACAAATTTCTGTGAAACACTGAATCTATTCTACCATTCAACAACAACATTTTCATTTTACCACTACTCTTCATTTTCCCATAAACTGCTTTAACCAAGCTTTAGTCAATTGGCAAATCTTTAGCACTCATTAACTCAGCATTAATAGATTATGGAAATAAAGCCAGATAGGGATTACTTAAAATAACAAAATTATTCTGTCCTCCTGGAGGTATTATTGAAACCAAGTTTTCTATCTATTTTTGGATACCTATATTGCCTCTTCTGATAGCTCCCTAATTTGCTCTAAAAGCAGAAATTTAAGTAGCACTGCTTTTCAGCACTCAGAGGAGGAGGCAGATGAGGTTGGGTGCTACCAGTAGATTCAACTACTGTGTCAGCTTCCCTGGTTCTTCAGCATCTCAGATTCTCACAAGCAAACATGAAATTTCAACTTGCTTTCTTACAAATATTTATAACCTAAGATAATTTAAAACACAGAAGCACAACAAAAATTATCTTTGAAAAGAAAATTGAAGGCTTTGAAAAGTCAGAAAACATCTGATTCTTTTTTCCTTATAAGACAAATCAACAATGCTGCCAAAAAGCTGAGATATTACATTCTTGTACAAGGAAAGAGAATGAAGAGAAAACGGGTATGACGTATTTCAAAGTGTGAACTAAATAAAGGCCTCTTTCTAGGAATTCCAGAAGAAATCGGTTTTAAAAACTAAGAGTGAACTGCTAGAATTGAAAGAGAGCCAGAAATGCCTACTTGCATAATCCACCAAAGTGTAATTCCAGCAATAAATCAAAAGCAATTCCTAGAGAACAGAAAGGCCCTCCCCTTTCTCAGCTGTAAAAACAGTGATAACTCTGCTGATCTTTGTGAACTTCTGAAGTATCTGGGACAGGCCAGAGCAATGACATTACACCAGCCAGGTAATAGAACCCTTCATGCCTACAGTTATTAAAATTCTTCAAAACTTCCTGTGGTTTGCAAAAATGAATTAAAATAAGTCAATAATTTTCTTCCTAGATGTCTACAAAGTATGTGTGGAAACATTTGCACATTTTAATGAAAACAGTTCCACGTGACGTAAATTCACATTGAACCAAACTGGAAAGTTTGTTCTGGTCTTGATTTCTTTTTAAGCAAGACTCAAAGTTCAGCCACCCATTATTTTTTGCAGGGTCATGTTACAATCAAATTGTGAAATTTATTGTAATTTCAAGCAAAAATGTGTGATCAAACCATAGATTTCTCTTCCAGCAAAGATTTAGTTTTCAACTTACCCAGAGAGAAATTGACTTTAACCAAAGTATATGACACTGCATACATTTTCAGAAGGCACCAGTGGCAGGGGTTTATTACTTTTATTTACTGAGACTCAGAGAAAAACACAACATAATTTAAGATACTTACATGCCACATCTTAAAGTGAAAATCCATTTTTTAATTTTCTTTCTCTCTGCCAAAGTCAGAAAACAATCAAGCGGGAAATACCATTGGTCAATACTGTTTTTCTAAATCCTGATCACAAATTTTCTAAAGACAGGCCTGTGAAACACTTTAAGTTCAAGTTGTCTTATTTGACACATAGTATGATTTCTGGTAAATTCATGAGATTAATGTTCAGAATTGTGTGTTCAGTTTTATTTTAAAAAAAAAGTACTTGCTTCCCACAAATATCAACACGAACA